CCCCCCCGCCCCTCCCCAGGCACAGGCTAGGCTCAGTGGTGCCATTTTATTTTTTAAAGATTTATTTATTCATGCATATAGAACTGGGTACAGTCCAGAGGAGCAGGGGCGGTGAGAGGCTTCACCAGAGACAGAGTGGGGAGCAGAACAGGCCAATCTTTGAATTACAATGTGGAGGGGAACTGCGGGAGGGTCAGGAGAGGTCTGCGGTGCCATGTGAGTCACCTCTGGGGCCGGGGATCGAACTTGCACCAAAGTGGCTGCGACTAGCTTGCAGTGCTGACCTGTTGTGCCTCCAGGGAGGGCCTGACCCTGGCTTTGCTCTGGGTGTGAGACCCTCTAGTGCCATCTGATTGTCCCATCACTCCCACCTGCCAGAATCTAGGGGTTGAGCTTTTGCTGCTTATGAGAACAAAACATCAGAATTACTGGATTTCACCCTTTTCCTTCCCACTCCCGAGCTCAGAAAGCTAACAGACTTCACGCTCAGTTCTCACAACACTGAGGCTCAGTGACCTGACATAGCCAAGCAGAGGGAACCAGAGAGGATTCTAGACTCAGCAGAAGTTAAGACAGAGGCCCTGGTGGGGTGGGGGTGGGGAGGGAGAGCCCAGTAACACCAACACACAAGTCTGAGCCCCCAGTCCCCTGTATTCACCTGGGGTGCATCCAGCTGAGTTTCCTCAGCTGCGAAGTGAGAATTGCTCATCCCCATCTGTGTGTTTGGGGGAGCCCGGGCCAGACTTTATGCTGAGAGCAGAGCCCTCAGCACCAGCAGGTCAGTAGGCAGGCGGGCACTGGTCAGACTCCGGCCAGAGCAAATGAGCCTAGTGCCTGGACCTCGCTGCCCTGGGGCCAAGACGCAGGCGAGGCTGGAGAGGCTGGAGAGACTGCCACGGCCCAGCCAGACAGCACCATCACGCAGGTCAGAAATCCGCCTCTGGCCTCCTTAGGGTCCTAGGGGTTCAGTCTCAGGCTATTGACCGTGCTGCCTGAGTCTGATCCCCAGCCAGGGAGGTGACCCACAGGGCACAGCAGACCTCTCCTGTCTCCCTGCTGCTCCCCTCAGCAGTGTGTTTCAGTAGTTCCGCCTGTTCTGCTCCCCACTCTATGGTAAATCCTCTTGCCCCCACATCTCTGGCCTATACCCCATTTCTTCTATGCAAAAATAAAAAAAGAAAAAGAAATCCCCCTTCTTCTCCCTTGGCTTCCCCATCCCTAAAGAGGGGGTAAGAGTCATGCCCACCTCTTTCCTCCTTCCCCCACCTCTGTCCTTTACCACTGAAGACTTTGAAAACCCAGTGGGGGCCTGGAGGCAGCAAGGCAAAGCTGGGGACCCATAGCAAGGATTTAGAGTGAGAGAGTCTGCCACTTTCTAGCCGTGTGGTTCAGCCTTCTGAGCCTCACCCTTCTCACCTGCAAAATGGGAGTCTGGGTCGCTTTTGTTAACATAAAGGTAGACTTGGGGAACCGCCAGGGAGCCTGCTCAGAGGGAGCCTATGGCCTGTCCCATCTCAGCACCCCCAGCCGGGGCCTAATGGTCCACCCCTTCTGTTTGCTTCTTCTTAGGACAACTCCGACACCTTCCTCTTGTCTGAGGACACAGACTGGAAGGTAGGTCTCTGCTCAGCCTCCAGCAGCTAACCAGCCCTGCCTGTCCCAGAGGGTCACAGCGGTCCGTGTGCCCCCTCCTCAGGGCCCACTGAGCCCCAGAGGCCTCCAGGGCCACTCAGTTTGCTGGGAGCAGTTCTTCCTGCCCCCTGCCTCCTGAACAGGAGGGGGAGAGAGGTGGGGAGGGAGAGAGGGGTGCTGTATCTGAATCAGCACTTTCCTCCAATGAAAGCCAGGTTGATGCTCTGAAATAGCTCCCGTTCCCATGGCAGCTGTTGCCCGGACAACCGTGTCTCTTAGTTCCATGCCAGGTTCCCTGTGAAAACTGAGATGGTTCTTTGTTGTGATGCCTTCACATGATGGTTTTGCACACTGGCCAGCCACTTCTGTCCAAGCCGGGCAGTTCATTGCCAGGTCTCTGGAAACGGCTGAGTTCTGGGGCCCTCTGGCTGTCAAAGCATGCTCAGGCCTCTGGGGCCTTCCGTGAAAGTAGCCCCCAGCCACTGCCGCCGCCTGGGCCTGACTTCAATTTGGGTCAGTCTCTGAACCCCGTGACAGCCCCAACCTCGTGGTCTGGACGCAAGGGTGACGCGGGAAGTGGGGCGGCTGGCGGGCTCCGCCCCCAGGCGGGTGCGCAGGACCGACTGGGCTCGAGTCTGGCCCTGGGTTGCCGGGGCCCTTCAAGGACAAGAGTCAGCAGTAGCTTCAGAGCAGCCTGTGCGCCTGCTCCTGTCTGGGGAAGGGGCAGGTCAGCCCAAACCCAAGGACTGGGCCGCTGGGGGTGGCTGGAGGTGGGTGGAGTCAGGGGAGGGGGAGAGGTGTGGCCTGAATGGCCTGAGCCAGGTCAGCAGAGGAGCTCAGGGTTCTTTGTCCTCTCTGCTCTGAATGAAGTAGAGTATGTGACCAACATCCCCTCCTCTCCAAGCCAGGGAGCAGCCAGCCCGATCCCCCCCTCCCCGCCCCTGCACCACCATCAATACCCAGTGGGACCAGTCAAGGCCAGGGAAACGAAAGGAAGGCTGGCACCTGTGTGCCATGCCCAACCTGGGGGGCTCCTGTCCCAGGCGTGTGGGCCCTGGTCCTCAAGACCCAGGATCTGGTAAAGGGCACCCTCTCTTATGTTCATTGCAGCAGAAGGAGGCTCCTTTTTCTTTTGTAAGAAAAAGCGGCTTCAAGGATTGTCCTTATCTGGGCCATGGCCTGGCAGGGATTCTAATCCATTTCAAGGTGGCAAGCAGCTGGCCTCAGTGGTCCCAGCCAGTGGGGGAGGCCAGAGACAAAAGAGCCACACTTGTGTCCAGGTTCAAACCCTGGGGGCTTAGAGGGTGGAGGGCGGCACCCCAATGCTGGGCACTGAGGGTCCTGCTGACTGTCTGGGCCTGGTTTCTTTATCTGTGCTACTGGCTGCGTGATGTCAAGCAGGTTCCCAAGCCTTTCATTTTCATCTGTAAAGTGAGATTTAAGAGGTTAAAATGAGGTAACACGTGGGACATTTACATAGAGCCTGGCGGGTGGGGGATGTGCTATTCAGCCTCTACTACCATCCTAAGGTGACCTCAGGCCCAGAGCCCAAGGGACAGGGAAGCTTCCTTCCTTCCTTCCTGGAGAGCCGAGTGGGAAACCAAATGTCCTCTTGTTTCCTCATCCTTCCTGATTTCTTCATCCTTGCTGGTAGGCGTGTGATCATTATGGGGTATAACTCCACTGGGCACTGCAGCTCTCCCAACTTACTGGAGGCGCTCAGAGAGGTTGTCTGACTTGCTCAAGGTCACCCAGCAGAAAAGTGGTAGAGCTGTGGCTGGGGCCTGGGGTTGGTGAGCAGGACAAGAGGCCATAGTAGTTGCTTCTGGAGGAGGGGATACCGGTTAGGAGAAACATAGGTTGCCCCATTTCTCTTCTGCCAGGCATCTGCCCAGCCTGGGCAGGGGTGGGGTCAGCTCTAGGTGATTTATGCAGCTTTTCCTTCTCCCTGAGAGGGCCTCTGTGAGTTAGGCACTGAGCAGCCTTCTACTCGAGGAGCCTGAGGCAGACATTAAATACCGTGGCCAGTGTCACCCAGCTGGTGGGTGGGGAGGCTGGGACTTAAACTCAGGTGGGTTTGAAGCCAGTGAGCTAAGAAGTGGGGTCTGTGGCTCTGTGTCAGCTTCTTACATGGGAGAGCCACTCAGACTCAGAGGTTGGGGTCTGCATAGGTTGGATGGGATCTGTGAGGAGCAGGGGTTTGGTGGCAGAAAGGCCACCCCCCCTTCAAGAAGGACAGGGTGGGTGGGTTTGTGGGGGGCTGGCTGCCTCTGCCTGTGCTGGAGTGGCCGCTGAGCATGGCTAGAAAGTGAGGGGTCAGGGAAACTCCCAGTACTACAGCCTGGCTGCCTTGGGAGAGACAGGGTTCAGCCCTGTAATTCTGGGTCCCCAGCACAGAGAATCAGAGATAGAGGAGAAGCTGGTGCCCATGGGCAGAGGATGTGCCAGAAGTAGGATGTAGGGTGCGTGGTGGGTGCTGATGGGGTCACTGGGCCCACAGACAGGGCCCACTGGGTCACAGACGGGGAGGTGACCGCCTCCCCCCAGGCAGCCAGCCATGGTCAGCGCAGGTTGGGGTGAGTGACATGTTCCTTCACCAAAGAGACAGAATGGGGGCACAGCCGCCCAGCACCCGCCTGTCTCTGTTGTTCCTGCTTCTCCCAGCCCTTGGGCTCCCTCCTCCACTCACCTCCCTGGCCTATTTCCTCGCCTCTGCTCTCTCCCTCCCCTTTCTGTTTATCAGGGAGTCTCTGGCCAGCTCCCCACCCAAGTAATCCTCAGAGCTCAGGAGATGGGGGGCCTATAGCCTGAGGCTTCCCCTGCCCCTGCTCCCCGGAGCCCTGGGGTCCAGGGCCACTGGAGCTGGGTGGGTCTGAGGGAGTGGCAGGCCTGCTGTGCCAGGCTACCTCATCTCCCTCCCCCCTTCCGGTGGCCTCCAGCCCCTTGCAGCAGGATGAGGTGGGGTGAGCAGGGCAGCAATCTGTCCAGGTCCCCATCCTCCAGCCTGCATTTCAGCACTGTGAGCCCCAGGGGACACCGTGGCCAGTGGCCAGTAGGGAAGGAGCTGGACCTGGGGACAGGGTCATCACCCAGGTTGACCCAGACAGCATGGTCCCCCACTTCCCTCGAGGTTAAGTGATCCAGGCCTCCTGACAGGTGACTGGGCTGGGCCTCCCTGCTCCCCAGGGTATGGGTCCAGGCCTGGGCGCCCGCGAGCCTGCCCTGTGCTACGCCGCTGCGCCGGCACCAGTGCGGGTGTCTGTGTACCTGGCCCACGGTGCACCTGCAGTCTGGCCCCCTCGCCCGTCTTCCCAGGACCCCGAGTGCAGCCGCAGCTGTGGTGTGTGCCAGCGTGCTGGGGGCGGGAAGACGCCGGGGCTGGGGGCCAGCGGGGATGATGTCGCGCGGGGAGTGGGAGGAGCGGGAGCAGAGGCTGGGCTGAGTGACGGGCGCGGGAGCCAATTGCAGCCGGGTTCGCCTCCCGCCAGCCAATCTGGCAGCCGCGGCTCCAGGTGAGCGAGTGGCGGCTCAGAATCCCCGCGGCGGGGAGGGGCGGCCGCGGCCCGGCCAGCGCCGGGTATAAAGGGCCGGGGAGCCGTGCCCCATCGCAGAGCCTCGGGTCTCCCACCGACGCCACCCCTCCCTCCGAGCCCCGGTGACTCAGGTCTTTGTTTGCCCTTCGTGGTCGAGGCGGGTGGCCTCCCTCGGCAAGATGCCGGAGTGCTGGGATGGGGTGAGTGAGCGCGCCCGGAGCCGCCAGGCGGGCAGCGAGCGGGGGGCATCCCTGCGCCGACCTGCCTCGGTGGCCCCGCCGCGGGCCCGCAGCTTCCGTCTCCCTGGCCTCCGCCTGCTGCAGTGGCTGTGGGTGGCTGCTGATCGCGCTGGGGTGGGTGGGGAGGGCTGGAAGCCTGGGGGTCCGCGCCTCACACGTGCCCGGCTGGCGTCAGCCTCCTCCTTGGGACAGCCAGGTCAAGGGGGTGGGGGTGGGGGACTGGAGGCTGGGCACCCCGCTCTGCCTGGGTGTTTGTGCATGCAAAGGGGGAGTCGCCCTCTTGAGTCTGGGGGGCGTCCTGGTTGTTTCGCCGTCGCACTGCAGTGCGGACAGGACCAATGGCCTCTCCCTTCTTGAGTTGCTTGCAACTCCTCCTTGGCCCCCAGGGCATTGCGGTGCCAGCCTGGCAGTGACTGGGTGGTCTGGGTCATGTTGCTAACACAGCCTTCAGATCGGGACCCCATGGGGGAGGGGGTGGGGAGAGATTCGTGCCTTCTTTTGTGGGTGCAGAAAGATAACGCTGGAACCGTCAGCTCTGGGGGGCCAGGATGCCTCCTTTGCCCATGCAGCAGGTGCCCAGGCTCTGTGCTGTTCTTCCCCATAGAGGGAGAGGCCAGGAGGGACCTGCCTCTGCACCCCTTCCCCACCCTCCTGCCGGTCCGATACACCGCGGGGCGCCTGGCGCCCTGGCAGCGACTCAGCGCCTCCCACTGGTGCAGCTCACGTCCCCTGAATTATTGATGCGGCTGACGGGAATCTGTACTAGCCCCCCCACCTCCCGCTGCGCAATGAAGCCCAACTTGGAGGCCCCCCAATCCTCAAGGTCACGGGTGAGGTGAGACCCACAGGCCAGAGGGGACAGCGGAACCCCCTCCCTTGCTGTCACCCCCTCCCTTGCTGTCGCAGTGTTCTGAAACCCTCTAGGAGATGGGGGCTGGGCTCTGATGTCACCAGGAGCCAATGGGAGTGTTGGGGGTTGGGGGATTGGAGTGCTTGGACGCCCCCCACCCTCTGCAGCACCCCAAAGGACAGGGTGTGTAGCCTCTCTGGGGCTGAGCTGGGCTGAGTTCCTGGGTCAGAGGAGTCACAGGGAGGTGGGCAGGGGGGTTGGCCAAGGTCATGTCTAACGGACTGGACCAGTGTCCTGCCCTGGGCCCAGCCCTCCCAGTCTCCTGGGACCTGAGTCCCGTCACCTCGGGAATGAGGACCAGGTTGGCCCCACCAGGCCTGGGGCGCGGCAGCTTCCCCTCACACACACCCGTGGCAATGGAAGTCTGGGTGTGAGCAGACCCCTCCCCGTGAGCTCTTCTAGCTGCCGCAGGGAGGCATTGCAGTGGATTGCCCCTGACCTCAGCCCTCACCTTCCCAAGGCCAGGAGAGCACAGGGGATAGGGCGTACAGCAGGGCCCCAGCCCCCCCCACCCCCCGCCCAAGGACAGGCCAACGGGGAGGCTGCCTGCCCACTCAGAAGTCTCTTGGGTGGAACGTGATCTCAGAAACGCAGCCTGGGGTATATCCCCCAGCACCTGAGGCTGGCACCTGGCAAAGCCCCCCCCGGCCTGTTGTGCACTTGACCTTGAATGAGTCATTTCTTTCCCAGCCTCAGTTTCCTCCTCTGTGGCTTGGGTCCCTGTGAAGAGCCCATGAGAAGCCACATGAAAAGCGTGCAGTCAGTGGCCAGTGAGCAAGCAGTGAGTGCTCCTTGCTCTGATGGCCCCGAGGGAGGCCAGGCCTGGGGCGCCAGCAGGCGGTGATGGACCTGGAGGACATCTGGACTGATGAACAGGACAGGATTGTAGTTCCTAGGGCGTGGCCTTTGGCCCTGAGGTTGACCCCCCTTTGTCACTCCCTGCTGGAGACACAGACAGGGGTGTCCTTTGAGCCCTGGCCTGAGAATGCCAGTCCCCAGGGGTATCGCCTACCCTGAGTCTCCCCGTTCCCCCTGGAGGCGGGACATTACCTTTGCTCTGAACCTCAGTGATCTGGTCTGCAAAATGGGGGCAAGGGGGTCTCCTCATGTGCTGTACACACGGTGGGTGTTCTGCTCTTCCTGCCCTTGCCCCTTGCCCGTGACCCTGCAGATTACAAGGCCACCCGCTCTGGTTTCCAGGATTCCGCGCGGTACAGAGCCAGCCTGTTGTCTCAGCTCCTCTTGCAGTGCTCCCACTGGGTAGCGGAGAGCAATCTGTCTGCAGAGGGGCCAGCTAAGGGGGCACCTCCCCAGGGCTCAGGGAGGGCCCAGCACCCAGCCCCCTTTCTGGGGCCCCCTCCAGTTGCTGAACGCTCCAGAGACATCCGCTTCTTTACTTCTCACAGAGTTGCTCTGAGATGGCTCTGGCAGAGGTGGCCGAGGCACGGAGAAGTGACTGCCCTGCTGAGAGTCACACAGTAAGGGCCAGAGCGGGTCTTGAACCCGCAGCCTCCAGCTCCTGTTCCCGAAGGAGCGCAGCCAAGGGCGTGAACACAGGAAGATCCTGGCGGCCATGCAGGGGGCCTGGGCGGGAGGGGGCGGTGTAGCCGGCCCTGCTGAGCCTTGGGCACCTCGGAGGGGGGCTCTCCAGGTGGAAGCGACTGCAGCGTGAGCCTAGAGGCGGGGACCAGGCTGGGCGGAGTCGGGGCTGGCTTGCTGGCAGGTACTGCTTACCTCCCAGTTTACCCAGGATGCTAGGTGGGCTGTTGAGGCCCCTTCCCTGCAGGGGCCAAGCCCTTGAAGGGTGCTGGGTGGGGGAGGAATATGGCGAGGGTGGGGCTCAGGCTGGGGGCAGAGCTGCCCTGGAGGGGTTGTGGGGAGGGAAAACACCGGTCTCTCTGACCCAAAGGCCTCAGCACAGCAAGACCCGCTGGGCTCACACCCACCACCCCTCTTTTCTGCACAGTTGTCCCCACACTGAACCCCATGGGAAGGGGTGCTCCCTCTGGTCTGTCCTCTCTGGGAGCTGCTTGAGCTGATGAGCATGAGACACCCCACCCCTGCAGGGTGGAAGCCCCACCCCAGGCCCCACACCTGCCCCCCAGCTGTCCCCCAGCCTGTTCCCCAGAAGAGCCAGAGTGGGGGCTGCTCAGAGGCCAGTGCCGTGTCTCCCCTCCAGGAACATGACATCGAAACGCCTTATGGCCTCCTGCATGTGGTGATCCGGGGGTCCCCCAAGGGGAACCGCCCAGCCATCCTCACCTACCATGACGTGGGCCTCAACCGTAAGTGCACCCCCCAGCCATATCCAGCCTCTGTCCACACCCAACCCATCTCAAATCTGCCAGAGCGGTGGTCTCCCTCCCTCCTCACAGCACCCCACAGATGCCCGCCCTGGCCTTGTGCCCCTAGGGGCTCATTTCCCCCTGGGCCATGGCCCCCCACTCAGCCCTGGGGCATGTGTCTTGCAGACAAGCTGTGCTTCAACACCCTCTTCAATTTCGAGGACATGCAGGAGATCACCAAGCACTTTGTGGTGTGCCACGTGGATGCCCCTGGTCAGCAGGTGGGGGCGTCTCAGTTCCCTCAGGGGTAGGTAGCTGGGCCCCCCTCCCACCGCTCCCCAGCTGTGTCTGAGGCTGTACCTGGCCTGACCGCGCTCTCCCTGCAGGTACCAGTTCCCCTCCATGGAGCAGCTTGCGGCCATGCTCCCCAGCGTGGTTCAGCACTTTGGGTGAGTCCAGCCCTACGCCTATGCTGGGGACCCCTGGGGAGTGACCACACCCCGGGGCTCTGGCTCAGGGCTGGGGGGAGGCCTGGCCTGCTCAGGATGGTCCTTGTGAAACTGACACTCCTGGCCCTCGAGTGACCAGCGTGCTTTCCGCCAGGTTCAAGTATGTGATTGGCATCGGAGTGGGAGCCGGAGCCTACGTGCTGGCCAAGTTTGCAGTGAGTTTCCCCCAACCGCGCCCCCCCAGGGCATCCCCAGGGCACCTTCTGCTGGGCTGCTCCCTTCAGCCTGGAAACTGCCCCCCTCGCCCTTCCTTTCTTTCCTCCCCCCTCCTCCTTCCCTCCCCCCTCCCTCCTTCCTTCTTCCTCCATCTCTTCATTTTTAAACTTTTTTTCCTTCAAGAAAATTAATTTTAAAAGGGCTCCTTTTCCCTTATTTCCTCAAGAGACTATAACTTAACTATTACCCAAAGCCAGGATCTCTGTTAGCATCCAACTATGCAACTAATTGTTCTAACCACAAGATGAAGATTATCCTGCTCACTCATCACTAACTGAGGTTCTACTTAAACAAGAAAACGTTAAGTTTATGAGGGTTAATGAAAGTCACCTTCCAAAAATATGCGCTGTCTGGTAGGACCCCACAAGCTTTTCACCTCTACAAAGAAAAACCGAGTTTTACATGGATTTTCAGCTCCGGTTGGCCCTCAGCCCTTAAGCTTTGTAACCGCAGCCCTTTCGTGCCACCGGACTGAGGACTGAGGCTGCGACCGGGCACCAGACTCCCCTTAGCCCCAAAGTGGTTTACTAACGTCTCCCTGCGCCACTTTCTGCAGAAGCGGGAAGTGTTTAATCCTGCTTAAGACAGCAGCGTCTGCAGAGTTACAGTAAAATGAGAATCACTGGGCCAGGCCCAGACTCAGCTGCAGAGGCCCTGGGGGGTGGGGGCAGGACCCAGCTGGAGCCCCTGGGGCTCTGCGCCTCCCCCAGCTGCAGGCCCGCAGAGCCAGGACTTCCCGGGCGGGAGGACTGGGGCTCCCCGTCACCCCCTGCCCTGCTCCCTCTCCCCGGCAGCTCATCTTCCCTGACCTGGTGGAAGGGCTGGTACTGGTGAACATCGACCCAAACGGCAAAGGCTGGATCGACTGGGCGGCCACCAAGGTGAGCGTGGGTGTCCTGGCGGGGTGGCGCAGGGTCAGGGCGGCCCTCACACTGCCCCCGCCGCCCGCAGCTCTCCGGCCTGACCAGCACGTTACCCGACACGGTGCTATCCCACCTCTTCAGCCAGGTAGGGGGTCTGCTCACCCCGAGTCTTCCCGCTCTCAAGGGCTTCCTGCTCCTGCGCCCCTCAGCTGGGCAAGAGTGGGGGTTTGGGGGTTATGTGCCTCCCCATGTCGCACCCCATATTCTGTGTTCGGTCACCAGGCAGCCAAGGTTGGGTGGGAGACTCTCCCTGCCCCTGAGACCCCCCCAGCTTCCACAATACTGCCCCTTGTTAACCCCCTCCTTTCCCCCATTAACCCCATCCTTCTCCCCCGCGCTGGGAGTGGGGCGAGGGCTGCTCTGGCAGTGCCTTGCATACCCCCTCTGAACCCGCATGCCCTCTGCCCGGCCCCCCTCGTGCGGCCCTGCTCCCCAACACCCAGGAGGAGCTGGTGAATAACACGGAGCTGGTGCAGAGCTACCGGCAGCAGATTGCGAACGTGGTGAACCAGGCCAACCTGCAGCTCTTCTGGAACATGTACAACAGGTGTGGGCCAGGTTCTGTGGTGCCTGGGGAAGCACACTCGGTGGGGGACCCCCCAACAGCCACGTGTGAGGGAGCCCAGGCACCTGCGTGCTCTGCAGAGGAACAGATTACAGAGCCGGCCAGGGGGGGCTTCTTGCATTCGCCCCAGAGGGGCCTGGGACCCGAAGGGCTTTGGGCTCTGTTTTGGGCGCTCCTCCAGGCCTTCCTGGGCATGTCGGCGGGCATAGCGGTGGGTGTGGGCCACATACCTGTGTGCTGACATCTGCAGGGGGCGTTGGGCAGGGATGTGGGAGGGCTTCCAGCTGCTCTTTGGGGTTGCCCTGAGGGAATAGTCAGGCCCTGCCCCATCTGCCCCATCTCCTTTCTTTCTCTTACAAACATCCACTAGGCACCTGCTGTGTGCGTGGTACAGTGGAAATAGGCGAACCAAGACCCAGGTCCTGTCTCCCCTGAGGCCAGGAGTCCCACTGCTGGGGACTTGTGCACAACCCCTTCTCCTTCCCCCAGTGCTAGCAGGGACAGCGTTAGTTTTTGTTTTTGTTTTAAAGATTTATTCATATAGAACTAGGGTACAGGTCAGAGGTGCAGGGGTGGGGAGAGGATCCACCAGAGACAGAGTGGGGAGCAGAACAGGCAGATTGATAAAGTACACTGCTGAGGGGAGCAGCGGGTGGGCCAGGAGAGGCCATGTGGGGCTGCTCCCTGGATGGGGATCGAACTCGTGCTGAAGCGGCTGCGGCCGGCTTGCAGTGCTGCACTTTTAGCCGGCTGTGCCACTAGGGAGGGCCCGCAGAGTCCGTTTTGAGGCTGCCCTGGCATGAGTTGTGGTCCGAAGTCAAGCCCGAGGATCCCTGGAGGCCCTACTTGTGCAGAGCAGGCCCGAGGCCTTGTTTTCCCAGCTGGGCCGTGAGCCTGTTCAGTGTGAGGTGACTGGACGGCGTGGCCTCAGTCTGGACCAGCAGGGGCCTCTGGGTATCCTGCGTCATCACTGCCATGCAGGGAGCTGGGGTGTGGCTGAAACAGCAGCCAGGCTCGGACACCCCCCACCCCTCAGTCCTGGCATGCCACCTCTCCCTGCAGCCGTAGAGACCTGGACATCAACCGACCTGGAACGGTGCCCAACGCCAAGACACTCCGGTGAGTGCCCGCTCCGCCTGCGGCCCGCGGCCGGCCCGCCCCTGCCCCACGCCCAGCCCTTCAGCCCTTTCCCTCTGTCTGCAGCTGCCCAGTGATGCTGGTGGTCGGGGACAATGCGCCCGCTGAGGATGGGGTGGTGAGTGATGGGGTGTTGAGGATGGGCCCGGACCCGGGAGGGAGGCAGGCGTTAGGGAGTCCCTGCCCCCGGCCCATAGGGCCAATTCTTGACCTGGTCCAGGGAAGCCTCAGGACGGGCCCTGGCCGGTGGGCTGCCTGCTCATCTGTCTTACCTGCCATCCAGGTCTGGACAGCCCCACTCCTTGAGGTGATGAGGCCTGGAGGGTGCAAGGGGCTGGGGCCCGCCCCTCAGTGTCACCACCTCCGTCTTTACCCACTTGAGGCCCAGAGACTTGTTTCTCTAAGAGGCATTGGTCATCATGGTGGGTAATTCACGAGCACAGCAGCGCCCCCTGTGGTCACCGGCAGCACCCCTGGCATTATGAGACCGTGTTGCACCTCTCTGGGATCCCTGGGGTTCAGGCTCCGGGGGCACCCCACCCCGCCCAGCAATACAGAAGCTACCGCTGGCTGCGCTGGCCTGAGGGTTTGGGGCAGCAGAGCTGGGGGCGCAGCAGGCATCCTGCCCGAGCCGAGGTCCCTTCACCCCCACCCCTCACCATCCACCTTCCCAGGCACCCCCACCCGGAAGGCCCTGCCCTCCGTGAGACATTGCTGAGTGTCTTCCGCAGATGGGAACGAATCTGAGTCTTAGGGGGCTGCTTCCTGACCTCCCTGGGCTTGGCCTTTCAGAAAGTGGCCTGGGGAGGGGTGGCCTCCCCCAGGGCCTAGTTACCGGGTCTGTGCTGCCCCCTGTTCTCCCTCCTGGCATCTCTGAGCCTCACCCCTGTGTCCAGGTTGACTGCAACTCCAAATTGGACCCGACCACCACCACCTTCCTGAAGGTGAGCCTCCCCTCAGCCCAGGGCCAGCTCCCTGCCACAGGCCCACCTGAGGGAGGGGCTACCTGGGGTCCCAGCCAGGGCAGGGATGGGATCCTCTGTCTGGTCAAGCCTGTCCAGTACTTGAGGGGCCCTGCTCAGCTCACCCCCTCTTCCCTACAGATGGCAGACTCCGGGGGGCTCCCCCAGGTCACACAGGTGAGACACTTGGCCTTCCTTTCCTCACTAGCCTGGGCTGGGGGAAGCCTCTGCCCTCCCGCTTCCGCCCAGGCAGCCAGTTAAAGCACACACCTGTCCCCTCCTGCAGCCCGGAAAGCTGACTGAGGCCTTCAAATACTTCTTGCAAGGCATGGGCTACAGTAAGTGCACCTCCCCTACCCGACCAGAGGCCTGAGGCCAGGCCGAGGGTGTGCTGGACCCCTATGGGTGTGCGAGCTCTGTTACTGAATGCTGGGCCATGTGCCCCCCCTCCCCCTGTCTCTGGCACCCACAAAGTCAGCCGTTCAGGCTATGCCCTGCACTCCTATACCTTGGGGAGGTCTCGGGGCCCGTCTCATGCAGTGCTGGGCTGTTTTAGTGGGGGGCTCTCTTCTCAGTCCTGGGGACCACGCCTGGCCTGTGTGATGCTGGGGAAGGCCTGTCCAAAGGTGAGTCAGACACACCCACACCCCATAGGCCTGTGGCACCTGAGAAGGGCTCTCATCATGGGTGGGTGGTCCCAGGGAGTCCCAGGAGGCTGTGGGGTGTAAGGGGTCTGGAGGCAGCGAAGGTGGGGTGGCATTCTGAAGACCCCCTGGCGATAGGGGCTGTGGGGTGGAACTGGCCCCCACTTACCCGCCTCCCTCCAGATCTGCTTGTGCCAGGATGAGCCTCCCACACTCGGCTCCCGAGCCAAGGGACACACACAACCCTCAGCACCCCACCCTGGCACCCACACCTGGCTCCTGCCAGAATCAAACTTCCTCTCACTGAATTCCCCCTCCCCAAGAAACGGGGAGTCTGGTGGGGGTACAGCAGTGGGAACACCCTGCAGCCCCTCTGGAAACTTAGAGCAAGGCGCCCAGGCTAACCCCACACACGGGCGTCCGAGGTGGGCCCGGCCCAGGGGGTTCAGGAGACATCTTCAGGTTGGGGCTGCGAGGGGTTGTCAGAGCCCCTGAGAAGTCCGGGGTAGGGGCTTTGGGGTGATGCAGACCTCTCCCCTTCTGTGCAAGGGGAGAGACTGAGGCCCAGCAGGAAGGTGAGGGCCCTGGGACTAATGATATCCCCCTGCCCACCCACCCTGCCCACCCACCCCACCCACCGCTGCTGCCCAGGCTGGAGAAGGCGGACAAAATGAGGGCTCCTGGCCTACCTGTGGGGTGCTCCCAGGGCCCGGTGGTCATCAATGATAGCTGTTTCCTTCCTGGCTGCTTTTTGGTGGGTGGGTGGGAGTGGGTCAGGGGCTCAGGCCCTGCCCGGCGCTCTGCGCTGGGCCTTTGAGTGATCTCTGGCCCGCCTCCACCCCCTGCCTCCGGACCTTCTTCTTCACCCTGTTCTGTGTCTTCCCCCTCCTGCCCCGCCCCGGCTCTGTCTTCTCAGTCGCGCACTTGAAGGACCGAAGGCTGAGTGGAGGAGCAGGTAGCCGGCCCCGCCCTGGCGCATGCCCCCGGCCTCCCCTGCTCCGTCCTCTGTACAGTGAGCCCTGCGGCCAGGCTGCGTCTTGCCTTGGCTCGGAGTCTTGCGCCCTGCTCCCCTCCAGAGCCCTGCTCTCCCCCAGTTGCTGGCTGAGTGGGCCGCGCCCACTGAGGGCTCTGGACGACTGGGGTGTCAGGCAGTCTTGCTTCTAGGTTGCCATGGGCCTCGTGGCCTCCAGAACCTCTCAGAGGTAGAGCCTGGCCCGGCCCGGCCTGAGCTGGACGCGATCAGGAGAGTGGACTGCTCCCTGCAAGTCTTGCTTGTGGACCCCTGGATGAGGGCAGAAGCTGCATTGAGCTGAGGGCCCTTTGACCACCATGCCTTGTCCTTCCCAGGACAATTCTCCCTCTGCCCACCACCCCTGAGAGGCAGGCCTGCCCCAGCTTGGGGCCAGACTCCCAGTTCTGGCCACAGCTCTGCTCGGCTATTGAGAGAAGGGCTCTGCTGGCCTCTGGGGGGACCTGGCCCCCACATTTGCTGACCGTTGCTGGCGCTGCATGCCTGGGGCTTGACAACAGACTCCCCGCCCCGGCTTGGGGTGGGCCTCTGTGCCGTTGGAAGAAGGGGTCCGGCTGGCCGCTTTGCTTGCATAAATCCTGTCCTGCCCGCGGGGGCCTCACCCAGCCCGGCCCCTGACGCCCGTCTGGTCTCTGCCCACAGTGCCCTCGGCCAGCATGACCCGGCTCGCCCGCTCCCGCACCGCGTCCCTCACCAGCGCCGGCTCGGACGGCGGCCGCCCGCAGGCCTGCACCCACTCGGAGAGCAGCGAGGGGCTGGGCCAGGTCAACCACACCATGGAGGTGTCCTGCTGAAGCCCTCTGTCTCCCGAGACGCCCACCACCTCCCCCGCCCGCATTGACGTCCCACTGCCATCCTCCGAGCCGGCTCATTTCCCCTGTAGTTTATTTTCGTGAGGGTGAAGGGGAGGAAGTGGGGTTACTTCTCTTTTGTTTTCAGATATGAGGGGATCTATCTTTGAGGTGGCAGAACAGTCTTCAGATGGTTTGAGGGGCTCACTCCTCGCCACCCCCATTTCACCCATGTTGTCAACTGGACTTAGACCCTGCTCTTCCAACTCCCCGCCCTCGGTACAGCCGGGGTGGGGGTCCAGGGAGGAGGGGGACTGGCTGGCAAAGGAACCCCTGAGTCCTTCTCTAGTCAGGATGCGGGATAATACCTGAGGTTAAAGCAAGCGCGGATGGCCGGCCGGCAGGTTTGGAGATGGGGTGGGGTTCGGCGAAGGTGGGTGCTGGGGTAGCAGGAGCACGGGTCAGCTCAGGCACTGGTGTGTGAGCCAAGAGACGGGGGCGCCATGGGAGGCGGGGAGACCCGCATCTCTCAGGGCCCCTTTTCCCAACCCCTCCACCAAGCACATCTGAGGCTGCCTCCATGCGGCAGCCTTCTGCACAGCAGCCACAAGAGGGCGCTCCTACCAGCCTGTGGTTTTCCTGGTGCTCTCTGGGTCCGGCTGGTCCTGTAGGGTCAGGCTGGCAGAGGCTTGAAGAGATTTTTCTGCTTCTGGATTAGGACAGGAACCCCACAGAAAGCCCACACACTCCACCACCTCCTGGCCCTATCTCATTTTTGAAGCCAGAAGTGGCCTGGTCCAACATCTCCAGATGGGGACCTGGGGGAGGGGGCAAGTGGGACTGAGGTTGAAGGCGGAGATACCCTGTGAGCACACACCACCTGCGGACTTAATGGCGAACCAGCAGACAGGTGGCTGAGCTTACTGCGGACCCCTGTTGGCCCTAGTTCCGTGGCCAAGGTCATTGGAAATGAGAGTTCTGGTCAAACTGTGCCCCCTTTCATAGAGGCATCACAAAGAGGAGTTTATTTGGCCCAAGTTAGCCAGACTTCCTCAGGCCCACAATGCCATCTCAGCCTGTTGGGGGGGACACGGAGGCCTTGTTTGGAATGGGAGGTGAAAGTTTCAGCAGTGGCCAGGGACGGGGCAGAGTGGACAGAGGCTGCCCCCACATCCAGCCCCTCCTGCCTCCTGCAGGATACTTGCCATGTACTTCCTGCCCCACCCCCCATCTGGTAAAATCTGACCCAGAAACCAGAAGCCATTTGTTCTCAGCCTCAATCAGTTGCCTCGCACCCTAAAACAGGTAGGAAGGGGAGAGCAATGAAAATTGCAGGGCTGTGGAGGGTCACTGTGTGTGCGGGGTGTTCTGAGGCTGAGAGGACACCTGCATCCACATTTCCTCTGTGCACATCACCCCACTTCTGTAATCTGAAGCCATTACGAGACTGCTCTAGAGCCGGGTGGAGGTGTCTGTCCCCAGTTCTATTCACTCACGTGCTTCCTTTGAATATTGAATGTGACTCAACAGCTGGTAGAATCCCTTATTGTAGATAGTGCTTCAAATCTTGGACTTCCTGTTTGTTTGTCTTGCTGTGTTCTCTCAGATGAGATATCTATAAATATACATTATATATATGTCTGTACATTGGGTCCGCCTGTGTGTGGTTTTCCATTGGAGGTTGCTCTTTGGTCACAGTGAACTTTTAATGGAGTTTTATTATCTTCCTCTGTATAAAGTGAAGAGCCGAAATTTGTGTATTTGGTGGCTGATGTCGTGAGACTTTGAGATGACAAGATGTAAACCATAAGAATCCTTGTCGACGTAGACAGTTAACTGCGCTGAAAAAACTAATAAACTAAGAAGAACTCGAGTCTGCTGTTACGTCTGTCGTGGGGCGCTGAAGGTGTTTAGGGTGTGGTTCCTTGGGTTTCTGTGGGGTTGAGGATGCAAGGTGACAAGCGTTACATTTAACTTACTGTTTTCAGTCTCCTCACTCACGTCTCCAGTCTTCTTCATCGTAGATGATCGTAATTTCACAGCTGAGGAAACTGAAGCTCAGGGTAAGGGGGTTGCCTGAATAAAAGAGAAAGGAGGGAGCTGGATGTGGCGTGATTTGTCTTCAAAATTGGTGCCTAAACTCCTCTGTTCCCTGCCTCCTTTTATTCTATTTCCCCCACAAGTTTAATAGCATGCTATGTTGCCAGGGGTAACCCCCACTTCTGAGTCATTCACTCAGCCATTTAGCCAACAGATACCAAGTCCTTGCTGTGTGTGCATAGAAGCCAATGATAGGGCCCTCCCTGGTGGCGCAGCCGGTTAGAGCACAGCACTAAGAAGCTAAAGCCACTTCAGTACGAGGTCAGGTCGATCCCCGCCCCAGAGGTGACCCATAGGTAGCCTCAGACCTCCCCTGACCTGCCTGCTGCTCCCTTCAGCAGTGTACTTCTTCGATCTGCCGGTTCTGCTCCCCACTCTGTCTCTCACGGCCCCTGCACCTCTGGCCTGTACCCCATTTCTGTAT